AGTCAACAATCAACCCCCAGAAGACATTTCTACTCTCCCAACATGCTCAACTTCAGCTCTACCTTCACAACCTTCATTAACTACCCTATCCTCCCTTACTACCTTACAGCCTCATAGTCCACCTCTCCATAGCATATGTCCCTCAACACTATTCCCTCTTCCACACACCCCCGTCCTACTATCCCCATCTCTACAAAAATCTTAAATACTCTCTCCCAGCCAAATGAGACCGATTTTTCGTGATCCTTCCCACAGCTCCCTACTCTGACAACACCCTTCTCTTCCAGCAACGACTCCAAAAACAAGTAGGCAAAGTCTTTCTGTAGCCAACCCGACCGTTCCCGTTTCGTCACAGTAACATTTGAAAACTAAGCTATAGCATCAAATTTAATTGATTTATATGGTAACACCATCCCTGTAGAACCCCATCCCACCGAAACTCCCCAGCAAATTGCCCTATCTATAACAAAATTTGATTGTGAAGATTTACTTGCCTGTCTCATGGACTATGATGCGATATCAGTACAATGCTACTCCATTCCTCCCAAAGGTCATTGTGAGAACCTATTTAACATTGCCAAAATTAGTTTCTGTAGGCATGACCTTCCCTTTAATGTTTACATCGGTGGAGAATCCCTCCCTGTCTGACCTCGTCAACCTCGTCAGTGCCAATATTGTTGGTGTTTTGGACATCCTGCCAAACATTGCCATTCCACAACCAGATGCCCATTATGTACCCAACCTGGCCATACTTGATCAAACTGCTCTGCACAATCATACACATGTGCCAACTGTGCATTTGAGTCTGAGGTAGAAACTCAGATTCAGACTTGAACTCTATGTGAAACCAGACAGGAAGCATGTCGACGAGGTTTTTCTCTTACTCCCTACTCCAATAATGTCGCTCTGCCACTCCCCCTACCTCCCAACGCTCCACTCTCCCCTAAACCTATCCCTCTTCCATCTAACCTCCTCTCTTCTACCTCCTACCTTCCCCAGTCAAATTCATTTGCCATCCTAAAACCAGACACTCCAATCTCTAGAGCCCCAACACCTTCCCTCTCCCCCCACAACCCACAGCAGACTAAACGTTCCACCCCCTCTTCCCCTACCACACAATCACCTCCATCTTCCTTTGCCCCTACACTTCAGTCTTTTCCCCCTCTCACAAGAAAACCTTTGTCTCACAAAACTCCCCAACCAACTCTATGACAGAAACTCTTGAAGATATTCAGAGCTATCTACTCGAGTCCCAAACTGACACTGAATCCACCTTCAGATTCCACAACTCCCGCTCCCTCCACACTCAAAGTGACTGCCGATATTCATCCTACTCATATCCCCCCTACACCCTGTCCTACCCCCTACACCCTGTCCTACCCCCTCCCAACACAGCCCATCCCCCCCGACTCCAGCTCCACCTCTAGGCATACATGGAAACATGGGTGTCTTCATAAAGTCTTTCCTCTCCCAACGCACTTTCCAGGTCAAAATTGCCACATCATCTTTCTTTCCTCAGATCGAAGGCGTCCTACAAGGCATGTGCTCAGAACCACTTTATTCCTTCTTGCTGTTAATGACATTGTCTCATTTCTACCACCAGAAGCCCGGTCATCACTCATGTTGATTTAACCATCAATGCCTCTGGCACATCCATGCAAAATCTCTGCGAATTTCTTCAGTCTGCAATATCATCAGTATCTTCTTGGGCCACAAACCATGGCTTCTGCTTTTCTACCTCCAAATATTTCTTCATCCTTTTCTCTCGCACACGTGTAGGTCCCATAGCTCCACTCTTATATAGCACTGTACTCCAACACTGATACTCTGGCAAATTCCGAGGTGTTATTTTTGACTCCAAACTGTCCTGGCAAGACCATATCTTTTACATTAAAGAAAACGCTTCGTCTGAAGAGGAACTCGTAAAGAGATCGAAACGTTACGATTCATATTCATTTCTTACTGTAACTGTTTTCCTTTTTAATGTATATATATACACACTCATGTATATGTATATATATGTATGTGTACTGTGTATTAATATGTATGTATATGTATGTTTATTCTATATATTTTGTATATATAAATACATATATATATATTATATATATATTAAATATATATACAAGTACTGTACATATATATGTATATATATATACTGTATATATCGTTATATGTATATATATATAAGTATATACATATATACACTGAATATGTATGTATATATATATATATATATATATATATATATATATATAGGTATATATATAAATATATATTTATATACATATATATGCATACACACAAAGTAAATATACAAATATATGTACAGTCGTACAGTTGCAGAATCATATTTCAGTACACATGCTGGGTCCCACTTCTGTACATCTGGCATCGTAACCATCGAGGCGACACGCTTATATACAAGTTCTGGTTTCCTACGTAGTACTACCCATTCCCTCTTTGCATGTTCTATTAACCTTTGCGACGTTCTTTCATTTGCCCAGACGTTTTCGACTCGGTTAAGTCACATTCCTTGCTTGGCCATGGAAGGACCTCAAGGTGGTTTTGGTCACGAAACCATCTCGTATCTGCCCCCAACGTATGTATTGGGCAGTTATCCTGCATGAATACGATCGTTTCTGGTAAAGGCAAGGCATAGCTACGTACTGACGGAAGAAACACTTCTAATACGACATATTTCTCCAAATTGAATCTCCTTTCTTTTTCTGCCTAGCAGAGTGGTGTTGCCTCCAATCTCATTGATTATACTCTCCTTCGTGCGGCGCGTCGTCCATGGTACTCTAAGCAGTCTACGCCAGCACCACATCTCAAATGCTTGAATCCTCCGCTCGTCTGCTACGGTTAGCGCTCAGTTTTCGCAAGCATAGGTTGCAGTGGGGAATATGAGTGCTTGTACCAGACATATTTTGGACTTTTTTGACACATGATGGTTCTTTCAAACTGTTGTCAGGTGCGTCATAGCACTTTTAGCTTGTCCAATACGACTTTTTATCTCCTTTTCGCAGCCACCAATTCGTTGACGAACGCTCCCAAGTAGTTGCAGCTATCCACATCCTCAAGCTGCACCCCATTCAACGTGACTAAATCTCCGCCTTCTTCACAGCCGATGGTCATCACTTTCGTTTTCTCGGTGTTAATTTTTAACCCGAATTGAGCACTGCTCTCATTCTTTCCAGAATCGTTTCCATATCTGTTAGATTATCTGTGATCACTGTGGTGTTGGCGTACCGGAGATGTAAAATCCGTCTGAATCACCATATGCCCTGCGAACTCGGGCTGTCTGGTTCTGATATAAGCCCCTAAGTAGGTGTATCAAGTGCTTCGGAATGCCCATTTTCTACAAAACATTCCAGTTTGTTGTGCTGCACAGTATCGAATGCCTTGCTATAATCTACAAAACACAGATACAACGGATGTTTGAACTCATGGTCTTTTTCGATAATGTGCCGCAGATTGGCGATATGGTCTCTAGTCCTTCTACCTTTCACAAAGCCTGCTTGTTCAGTTGGAATTTCACGAGCTGCATAACTTTCCAACCTCTGGCTGATATGTAGCAGAACTTTGCTTGCATGCGGGATAAGTGAAATTGTTCCATAGTTCTTGCAGTCCTTGTTGTCTCCTTTCTTGAAATGTGGGATAAATAGCGATGCTTTCCATTCTGTTGGCCATATCCTTGATTTCCAAATTTTGTTACACAATGTCATCATACTCACTCCAGCCTCACCCGCCGCCTTGATCAGCTCTACCGGAATATCGTCAACACCAGGTGACTTGTTCATCGAGACTTTCCACAGCGCCTGCTGAATCTCTGACACTGTGATTTCCAGTTCGTGTGGCATTTCATCAATATTGCCACCATCTTCGTTCCCCGCTTCCTCATGACTCGTGTAAACCCGTTCCCTGAACGCCACACAGCGAGGTTGAAACTTGCCGCTGAGTTTTTTTAACACAGGCAAAAAGATCCCTGGAGTGTTTGGGTAGACTGTTCCTCTCCAGCATCTGACAGATTGTATCAATTTGTACTTGTTTATCCCTCTGCAAGAATATCTCTACTAGCAACCTTGTAATGTAGGTCAGAATGCTGCAAACCCCTTTCTTTCAGGGCCCTGCGTTGACGAATTAGCTCCGCCGTGTTCTGTGAGATCCAATTTGATTTCTGCCTTTTCCCTTTCCTCACATGCTTTTTTGCAGCCTGCATCAGAGCTTCCCTGGCCTGTACCCACAGCTCATCCGGTGTTTGATCCTCTGCCATCTCCAGAAGAGCACTGAAGAGGTTACTCCGGTGTACTCCGGCTTGAGGTCTCAAAAAGTTCAGCAATAAAAATCGATGTATGATTCGGCAGTCTGACCTTTAGTTCACATTCAGTCGACCATACACCCGCACCCACACACTCATCTGTTTTGGAGCCGTCGGTATATATATGAAAAAAGTTTAGATGTTTAATAAGGATCTCCCTGAACCTTGGCTGATGGAAGCCAGGCTTCCATGATAGAAAAATTGGGGGTTTCCCATGGTGCTATATTTGACTGAACCAGGGTATCGATGGTAGAGAGATCTATACCGATTTCCTCGACGAGGTCGTGGAGTCTCGTGGCAAAGGGCCTAATGCCTCCATTGCCATTAGGGTGGCTCGGGTCTCGAGCCACCTTCGCGGCATAGCTCAGGGCTAACTGGCCGCGTCTGAGTCGGAGGGGAGGCACTCCTGACTCCACCTCAGGACGCTCGATTCGAGTGCATTTTAGGGCTCCAACACACATGCAAACAAGCATTCTGCACAGAATCCAAACCTTTCAAACTTGTTCTCGTTCCCGAACCATACACGATTGACCCATAATCTACTTTAGACCTAATCAGGGCTTTATATACCATTAGCAAAGACTGTCTATCAGCTCCCCATTTGTTACCAGAAATGCACTTTAATAAATTTAGTGCTCTTTGACATTTATTCTTTAACTGACCAATGTGGTCTTTCCAATTGAGTCTACTATCAAAAAGTAGCCCAAGAAATTTAGCAGAATTTTCAATTGGTATTGGGTGGTTGTCTAGAGTTAGCCTGATGTTCGGCTTTTTCCTATGTGAAAAAATTCCCCCAATACTGTTTCTCATGGAAAACTAAAAACCCCACTGGAGGCCCCAGTTATGAATCATATCCAGTGCCAATTGGGTGCGATTTGCTGAGAATTCTGCATTATTGCTGGAGTGGCATAATGCACAATCATCAGCGTACAGTGAGTATTTAAGATTCCGAGGAGGAGCTGGTAAGATGTCATTGATCATACATAGAAATAATGTTGATGACAAGACACTTCCTTGTGGGACCACATTTGCCTGGACAAAAATGTCCGAAAAAGTGACATTGTCAGAAAATAATTTGACAGAGAAAGTTCTGTCAGAAATAAAATTTTGAATAAAACAAGGCAAGTTTCCACGTAATCCAAAAGCATAGTTTTCTGAGTAGGCCATATCGCCATGGCATGTCGTAGGCTTTTTGTATGTCTAATACAAATACTGAAGTCAATTTTTTTTTTTTTTGGCAATGGCCTCTTGAATATGACTGTCCAGCTTTACTAGTTGATCGAGAGTTTGGCGTCCCTTTCGGAAACCGCACTGCTCGTCAACTAGTAAATTAATGGATTTAAAAAAATACAACAGCCTACTGTTAACAATTCGTTCCATAACCGTGCATAAGCAACTTGTCAACGCAATTGGGCGGTAGGAGATGGCAGATCTGGGATTACCCCCTCCTTTCAATATGGGACCGATGTGGGCGAAGTGCCATGAGTTTGGAAAAGTGTGTTTTTTTTCCAAATTTCATGGTATACTTCTAGCAAATTAAATATGGCATCACGATTAAAGGGCAAGTTCAGCGGTTTCAGAAATATGTTATTTTCACGTTATCTTGTGAATAAATGTCAATATAATACAATCCATACTTCGTATTTTTTCATCTTTATGGTTAGGTCATTCTTTTGGAGATTTTGTAGGCTGAAAAACCTGCTATAAAAATCGTCTGCTTGAAAGACGACTAGAGGCGACGCCCAGCGGCCGTGACGTCACAAGGTGTATTGCTCACGGTCATTTTAGCTGGTTAATGGGGATGAATGAGAAGCAA